AAAAAAAATCATAAAAATTTTTTTTTTTTTTTTTTTTTTTTTTTTTTCTATAAATAAGCGTGTTATAACACTAATCTATCTAATGTTTCCAACAATTGATAGAATTATGGTCTGTTTGTTAAATTTCAACTATAATAAATATCTTAATCAAACATACATATTATGACCATGTCAGAGAGATGCAAAACACACCCCAAAACTTTTAGTCAAAAACAACATAATTTATTTTATATAACTTAACTATGTGTTTGCTTACTACTACCACATATTATCAACTTCCCTGGAACAAAAAGAACCTAAACAAAATATAATAATCCGGTACCTAATATAATATAAATAGAATAAAGTCTAAAACATTGCAAGCAAGCTAGCTAGTGATTTTCTATGTCATGCTTATTCTGATCCCTCTTCTTACTCCACTCATGAACACAGAGATGAAGCTTCTTACTCATGGCCAGAAATTCTACCCCTTGCACCGGACGTAAAATCCCCAGAATCTCCTTCAGCGTGTTCAGCCTGAGCTTATCAGCCTCCTCCAGAACCTCAGCCATGGATTGCTCGTGCTCGTTCAGAACCTTCTCGATCTCTCCGCTCATTTCTCCGATGCGGTCGACGCCTTTCGCGATGGCGGAGATCGGCTGATCCGCCACGTCCTCCTGCAGCCCCGCCAGCCTCGCCGTCAGCCTCTCCTCCTCCCGAATCGTCCGCCGCTGCAGCTCGTCCACCGCCCGCATCTGCCGCGCCGAGAGGTCGCCGATATCGCCTACGGTCTTGCCTCGGAGAATTTCGGAGAGCTTGGACTCGATGTCGGCGCCGTCGAGGGCGTAGATGAGGCGGATGAAGGCGGAGGGGCGGCAGCCGGCGATCCAGAAGAGGGAGTTCTCCCAGGGAGTGCACCAGGAGGGGGAGAAGAAGGATGCGACGTCGTTTCGGGAGAGGGAGGAGCGCTGGGAGATGTAGGACTCGAAGTGCTCGATTGCCTTCTGGGCAAGCTTGGTCAATTCGGCATCGTTTTGGGGGGTCAGGGTTAGGGCTTGGAGGAGCTCCGACAGGTCTCGCTCTTGGAGTTTCATCCACTCCAGGAAGCAGCATTTGGAGCGATCTTGGTCGCCACTCGCCATTTTTTAGACTTTCGGGAGTGTTTGAAAGCTTAGTTGGTTGGCGGTTTTATGTTGCTAGCTAGAACCATTGTTTCCATGTGCTGTTATATATATATATATATATATATATGCGTGTATATATAGAATATATATGCAGGTGCACACATGTATGCTGAGAATCTTTTTTGATTTGTTTATATAAAAGAAATAGTACTTCTAGTTTGCTTTTTATGGTTTGTTTTATTGTTACAGGTGCGTTATCTATCCATCCAAAGTTGTAATCCCAAAAACGGCAGAAAAAAATTAAGGTGTAAATGAACCATCCCTAAATATCTTTCTACAAACTTTTATTATTCTAAAATTATTCTTTAATATTTTCATAAAATTGTTTACACACCTCTTTATTCTCCATACCCTCTTCCAACTGCACAGTGCACACCCTACATAAATTAAATTATTACTTTAATGTTATCTTTCATTTATATCTTTTTATATTTTTTGTTAAAAATTTAGTCATGGAAGGTTTTTTTTTTTTTTTAAGTTCAATAGGGAATATCATTTACTGTTAATAGAGTTTAGAAAAATTTACTATTACATCTTTAAAAAAAATAAATGACATAAATTTATTACCTCATGAGCACAAACGGCATTAAATAAAAAAATAATCAAGGAAAAAACTTCGTAATCTAGCATATAAAAACAGTAAAAAGTAAAACGATTTGTTAAAAAATCGACTAACAACTAAGCACGTTACCAAAACTTAGCCTCTAAGTTTTGGTTTCAACAAGCACTTCACTACCCCAAACTATGCAAACATTTCTTCCATTAGAAGTATTCCGTTAACAAATGGACGGAAATGAGTTAGTTACATGACCCTCACATGTGTTAATGACGGAATTATATATATGTGTTAAGCACGGAATTATATATGTTAAGGGGGTGTTCAAACTCAAATATATGATTATGTTAGAGTATAAAACTCACATTTTTTGAGTTTGAACACTCTAGCAGAATCATATATTTGAGTTTGAACACCCCCTTAACATATATAATTCCGTGCTTAACACATATAATTCCGTCATTAACGTACATGTGAGAATCATAATAAAAAATTATGAGTTTGAATATACTTCCTAAACGGACACTATATATCTCTGGATAGAAATTAAAAAGGGTTAATATTAATCAATTGACAAAGAACAAGAAAAAACACAATGCAAAGTTAATCTATTCAAAGAAGGGGAAAAAGAAAATAAAAGGCAAGCAAACTGAATTAAAGACTAATTCTGTGCCGTATTGTTGCCGTCGACAATACGCAGGCTGCAATAGAAGGCACTTTTCATCGTCATCATCATCAAAGCACATTTTCGATACAATGGAAGTCGGCTACACGGATTCCGATTCTTCAAGCGATGCAGTCATATCCTCACGTACTCTAAACTCTAAAATGTCGTCTCTCACTGTCTTGATCTAAGTTTCAACTGTCTGTCCATCTGTCTATGTCCTCCACAAGCTTGCCACTCTAGACTTTCTAATAGGACGCACTTTTATTCATAAATAAGTTTCTAAATTTGAATCTAATTTCTTTTGCGAGAAATAAAAAGCATCCAATAACATACGTTCGATATGATCGATCTGCCGTTAATTTAAAAAAAAAAAAATCATTTGGCTGTACCATTTATGCGCGTGTGGATCGAGGACAGATGACGTGGTTATAGGACACCAAGCGTTTCTATGCCTGCTTTAAAAAAAAAAAAAAAAAACAAAACAAGAGATTAGTGGTGTTACAATTATAGAAAATTCTCTTGCTTGAACCATTTTACCTAAATACCCCTTGAATTTAACAAAACGTAATGAAAAACTGGAGGTTGACTGTTAATTAAGCCCGTTCACTTCGTTGATTCGAGTTTAAAATTCGAGTTGAGATGTGACTTTATGTGAGAGCTTTTTACTGTAGCAAAAAAGTTAGATGTGATTGTTTGTAAGAGCTTTTTACTGTAGAAAAACTCGAATTCTAAACTCGAATCAGCGAAGTGAACGAGCCCTATGTTGTATTGACGAACGTACCACACTCCTTGCGTTAAAGTCTTAAAGACTTATCCTAGTTACATGTAAAGGCCTAAAAACAACGTTTGTACCCTTGTTTAATGAATCATTATCATAATGATATCAAGTGTTCTTTAAATGTTAGCATCTACAACTTCATAATATTGTTGTCATTTTCAATAAAATGTTAATAAAGATAGTGACCATAGGGTGAGTGGATGCTGACCTAAAATATTTTAGTCAAATTGGTGTTTTTGTAAATTAGACAAAATATAGAAAGTATGAATGTAGCTCTCCCTAGAAAAAATAAAAATATAAAGAGCAAACGAATTACAATTTATGATTGAAGAAAAAAATCAAATCACTCTTTGTTCTATCAACTCAAATTCAAATACGTCCACATTATATTTTTATATTTTTGGTCCCAAAACAGTGCAACTGGACATATTAATACTCGCAATGAGAAGGAAGAGTTATGCCATGTTCGTTTTGTAAATTCGAGTTAGGAAATTAGTTAAAAAATAAATTTATACGAGTGAAAGTATAATAACAAAAGATTTTAAATTATTTTAAATTGTTAAATGAGCAAGACATTAACCTCTCCTCTCCATAAATTCACGTGGTAACGTTTGTTTTCTCCATCTATTTCATGTGATATTGTTTGTGTCAATTAGTATCTCTCTTTCATTCAACAAAAGAAGCTTTTAAGTTTAAAGTAACGACTTCGAAGGTAGCGAAGTTTGATTTGATTTTGCAGCATGACGGCAAGTACTGGTTGAGCTAGCTCAATTACCCAACTCCCTGTCCTCAGACTAGCTGGCTAGTCATGTGATGATACGAAATTGGAAAACTCTTATCGCCCACCCCAAAAAAAAAAAAACAAATACAATGAAAAATATAAACGCCGTCGTCCACGTGTTGTCAAGTTTAAGCGGAAATGAAAGTAGTGTCAAATCCTACGAACGGCACGAGTACTTGTATTATATCGTATGTTACGCGACGTGCCTCAAAGCTGCTGGCTTAAGAGCTGGTCTTTATCTGCTTTTTCATGTGCTCTCATCTCATACATGTTCATCAGCTTGAATAAACGAGCTTTCAGTTGCACAAAGCCAATCGAAAACCGCCGGAAGAAAACAGTTCATTACTTCGAATTATGTCGATTTTCTTTTTCTTTTTCTATTGAAAAATTAAAATAAAATTTAGATGCGCAATTAAAGTGCAAATCTGAATAAAAAATCAGATCTGAATTTACGTTTTTAAAAAATATATTTAGTCAATTGAATGTATCACGTTATTTTACTTATATAATACACCCATGTAATACAATCGTCCAATAAAAGTTAGCATTTCAATGATTTATTTATATTAACTCCATATAAATGTTGTTGGGCGTGGCTTCAATTTAGCCTATGGGTTTTGTTTTATTTGTTTGGGTCCCTTATTCACTTAACTGCAGCGACCTGCTATATATATATATATATATGCTATATATATATATTTGCCAGATAAACTTGATGAATAGGAGTTATAGCAGCCGCATAGCTTATCACAGTTTTCTTTTTTTTTTTTTTCTTCTTTTGAGTGAGATTTGATGGAAGAATTATTTCTTTAATATTTAATATTTGTATTTTTGGGTGGAGAGATTTTAAGTTTATTTGAACTTTAAATGGTTAGAGATATTTATTAGACTTTTATAATTTCTTTTGGTTTATAGTGAAATTTATTTGTTGTTTTGCTTATAAACGTAGACTAAATATTGAATCACGTTAAATTCTCGTGTCTTTTAAATTATTTCTGTTAATTCATATTTTCTCCTAAATTTATTTAATTTAAGGTTTAGGATAACACATATTTATCTTTCCTAATCACTTTACATTAACTGTTATAATTGTCAAAAAAAAAAAAACTCTACCCCTTTATCTACTCTACCTATACGCTCTCGTTATGATTAATTTTGTTCGGTACCGGAAAAAAAGGGACAATTTCAGGAAACTACGGGCATATTCTTTTGTCTAAAAAACTTAAAAAAAGACAATTTAAGTTTCAATTTTATTTAAGTTTACGTTTTTTTAAGTTTCAACTTTATTCAATTCTACTCAATTTTATTTAAGTTCTAACTTCAACTCAAATTATAACTCAAATTTAACTCAAAAACTACACTCAAGTTACACTCCAAAAGAACAACCCCTACAAGTACGGAAAAGAAGGTCTAATAGGCAATCTAAATAATTAAAATGCAAAATATTGCTGCATTTTTATCAAAAAGTATTCAAATTGATGTAATATTTCTAGAACATGAAAGATACTCATCTTTTGATGACAAAAAATACACGTTGAACTTTTTCTCGCTCATAGAAAAATCAGTCAAAATATTGTAATTAAAGTTTCGTATTTCCAGTTTTCATTAAATGTTATGCTAAAGTCCTAGATCTTTCTGTAATATTATGCTAATGGTTTTAAGTTTTTAACATATTAAATTTATTGGATTGATTGTGTAAAAATAATAATATTTTAAAAACAATAAAGCTTTAATTTAAATTAGCTAATATAAGAAATTTAAGTGGGATATTTATAACAATTATGGACATGATTAAACAATAAATATACAACACAGTTAATATAAATAAATCATCCAAATGTTAATATTCTATTGGATGGGTGTAAGCATAATAACGCGGTACACTCGATCTACTAAATAATTTCTCGTATTAGGATAAGTGTAGAGACTAAAGAGCTGCGAGAATGAACATAAATATGTTAAGTAATGGTTTGAAAAGTTGAAATGAAAGGGAGCTAAACTATAAATTAGATAGTTTAACTTAAACCTGAGTAGGAAGTAATTATCCATGAATTTGAACTTAATTCACCATTCGGACTGAAAAATTCAATCCGAATTAGTGAATCAAACAAGCAGATTATTAATTAGTGATTTTATTTTACTGATCAGAAACAAAACGTAAACACATTAGTGATTT